CACGCGCGTGCCTCGGGCCTCGGGCAAAGATCATGCGCTGACCAACCTGAGATACGACGCTGCGAAAGAGTGCCAACCTCGCGAGACAATCACGACCGGAGCCCTGGACCAACCCTTCCTGCAGCATGTGCCGAGCCCGAATGATCTGCGATGGTCCCGGGAAGCCCGAGCCCAGGCGAAACCGCCCAGTGTGGAAAGAATTGCAACGCCTGGGTCGCAGGGTCCTCATCTCGGGCAACAAGGATGGCACCAGCAGAAACTTTTAAACTTCCGGTTCGCCGCGCGGACCCCTGGAAGCTTATGCTTATGTCACTGCTTGTTCCCCTACGGTAGGTTCATGCGGCGTTGGCGCGCCAGCGACGCCTGCGAAGGCGTTCAAGGCTGAAGTCTGCGACGCGGAAGCACCGAGGGACACGGTAACGCCACTGCACCCGACGGAATTCAACCTTGGACAGTCGGGGCCGCGATCGATTCCAAGGTTGAACGACCGACGCGGTGCCAAGGACCTTTGCGCGCGCCACCGCCGCACGAACCTGCCGCATCCTCGGCGCACCCGCAGGAGCGGGCTGTGCCCGCCCCACGCTTACAACCTGCGCGACTACAGCGTCAAGCGCGGGCGCCTCGCCGCCGACCGGGGCGCGGCAGCGGCGAAGATCGTCCTTGCGCCGAGCCACGCCGACCTGCTTGGCGGCAACGGCCGGTGGAGGCAGAGGACCTCGGGCGGCGAGGCCTGGGCACGAGGGGCGCTGCAGCGAGAGGGCCTCGTCCCGGAGGTGCGGAGAATTCGGCTTCCCAGGCATGTCCACGCTGTTATTTCTGCTTCGTTTTAAGCGGCGGCCGGTCTTGGGCAACTTTCTGCCTCCCAGTGCCGTCGCCAGGCCCCGGCACCGACTCTGGATGCAAAGCCAGTCCCATCAGTGAATGGGTCGAGACCTCGGGGGTCGACGTGGTGGACAAAAATCATGAGGTCGGCCTAGCCTTTGCGGGGTGGAGAGGTGGACCTCCTCCTCGTCCTCGGCGGGAGGCCTCGGTCTGCATGGCGCCTTCAGCGAAGCGCACACCCACTGCAACGATGCCCTCTGGCGTCTTTTCGTGGAGTTCCGAGTTCCGAGTTCCGAGTTCCGAGCTCCCCAGAGATCCGACGTCGTGATTTTTTCAATGCGCGGCCCCCGGAGGTCTCGACCCATTCCCCAGGGCCGGCTTTTCATCCTGAGTCGTTTTTTGACGGTCCCGAGGCCCGGCGAGGGCCCCCAGGGGCAGAAATTTGCGAAAAAAACCTCCGTTTTTGATTTTTTCAATGCGTTGGATCTCTGGGTCCGGCGGGAGGCCGGCGGATACCAACGGAAGCAGATCGGCGGCGGGTCCGGCGGCGGAAGCTCGGTGGAAGCAGAGTCGGCCCCCCGTGCCCCGAAGAGATCTCAGCACACACCCGCCGCAACCGGCCGGGCACATCCTGGGCCCAGGGCAGCGCTGCGTATATATATATATATATATATATACACATACATATACATATATATATATATATATATGTGTATATATATACATATATATATACATATATAGAAATATTTGGATGCCTCCATGGCCAAGCCAGGGGGGCGTGCGCGGCAGGGTCCCGGCGGGGGGGAGCAGGGTTCGGTCGGGCCTGTCCCCCTACCCTACAGGGGGAATTTTCAACGAAAAATCAGAAATACCCCAAACATACCCCAAAAAGGTCCAACAATATCCAAAAGATAGTCCCCAGACTATTTTGGGTTTATTTTTTGATTATTTTCAGGGTATCTTTAATTTTTCACTGAAAATCCCCCTGTAGGGAGACAGGCCCGACTTAATCCCAGGGTGGGCCTGCACGGCCTGCCTCTCCCCCCGCTGGGCAGCGCAGCCTGCGCGACGGCGGCCCGCGCATGGGCCCGCCGCACGAGCTGTGCCTCTGCCGCGGACGTGCGCCGGCCTCGCCGCCCGAGAGGAGGGCGCAGGAGCAGTGGGTCCTCGACCAGGCCGAGGAGGAGATACATGGGGAACCAAAAGTGGCATGAGCATAGAAACTCGGAGGTCCGCGCGGACTTCTCGAATCGGCGCTGGACCCCCCTCCCTGGCGCGCGGAGCGCGCCAGGGGCAGCGCCGGAGGCGCCGCCGGGGGGCCCCAGCGCCGATCCGAGAAATCCGCGCGGACCTCCGAGATATTTTGTTTATGCCACTTTTCGCTCCCCCAGGAGAGGCGCCGGCGCGAGCGCGAGGCGCTGGAGGGCGAGAGGCGGAGGCGAGGCGAGGAGCGCGAGGCCGCGCGCCAGAGGCAGCAGCAGGAGGACGCGCAGCGCCTGCGGGCGCTCGAGGAGGAGAGGCGGGGGCAGCGCCTCGCGGCGGAGGAGACCGGAGCGGCCAGGGCAGCGCGAGCACGGAGGGAGGCGCGTGGCTCAGCGGCGGGTCCCGTTTCCATGCGGAGTCGGCGCGCTCCAGCGCCGAGGCGGGCGGCACCGGTGCCACGTCGTTTCAGGGGGGGGCCTCCCCAGATAAATCCGTGGACCTGGCGCCCTCGCGCCAGGGCGCAGGCAGCCAGCCCGCATATGGGGGGTGGACGGACCTCCTGCTCTGACGCGTCGATCGGCGAGTTGGCCGTTGTCGGTTCGCGAGGGGGCGTCGCGGCCGTCATTTTGGCGGCTCCAGGTCCGTCGGTTTCGGTCCCAGGTCGTTTTCGCTAAAGGGTGGCTTGCTACAGGGAGGTTTGTCCACCGCCGAGCACAGTAAGGATGAGCGGCTTTCCAAGGTCACCTTGAATACTGCGACATCTATGTGTGATATTTCCTTGTGGTAACCATCTACGCGTTCCAGACAGCCGATTGCAACATCAAGTCAAAATCCAGCTGCATTTTGCATAAAGCAAACCGCAGCTAAGCGTCCGCCGCAAAATCAGCAGCCTGGTCTGGGTAAGGATGAGCGGCTTTCCAAGGTCACCCTCGCAGTTTTCCCCGTCGGCCCATCATGGGCCGCGTTCGCTGGCCGCGCCCCGCTCGCAACGTGGCGGCACGGCCTTCCAGGGCCCCTGCCATCCTGGCCGCGCATCCTTACCATAATGGAGGATGACGATTAATAAATGACCGGGGGTCGTGTTCACGCCGCGGCGCCCGGGATGACGATTAGAAGAAACCGGCCGCGGGCTGGAAAACTATGTTTAAACATCGTTCTTTTCCAGTCAGAAGCTTGTGCAGAAATAGCAGGCAACTATTTTTTTAATCGTTCCCCCCATTTTGTTTATTGATCGTCATCCCGCATCACGGGTTGGCTGTACACCCAGGAGGAGAAGAGTCGGCGCACGCACAAGCTTTCGGAGGTCCGCGCGAGCTCTTTGCGTCGGCGCTGGACCTCCCCTCCCCCCCGGGGGGGGGGGGGGGCGCGCTTCGGGCGCCGCCCCTGGGCGCGCCGGAAGCGCGCCAGGGGAGATCGGAGAGGGGAGATCGGCATAGACATGTCGGGTGTTGCCAGAGGTGCCCCTGATCCAGGGTGCCCCCAGCTTTTCGCGCCCCCCTTCCGGGGCCCCCGTGGGCCCGTGATGGCGCGAGTGCTCTGCAGAGGCCACCGGGGCCTTCTGGGAGACCCTGGGGGGGCACCCTTGGGCCAGGGGCACCTCCTGGCAACATCCGAGCGGCAGCTTCCGGAGGTCCGCGCAGGCCTCTCGCATCGGCGCTGGGCCCCCCCTGGCGGCGCCCCCGGCGTCGGCCCGGGGCGCGCTCTCCGCGCGACGGGGGAGAGGTGGGGGGCCCAGCGCCGACCCAAGAAGTCCGTGGGGACGAAGGTTTCTGCGCAATGCCTTGGCATCGCTCGGACGTGTGCGTTTTATTCCTTCGGCGAGGACCATCGGGGACCATCCTTGATCATTTGGCGAAAGAACCACGCACGAAGCCGAAAAAGCACGGGAAGTGGACGTCCGAGCGATGGCCAGATGCCGAGGGTCGTTTCTTCCAGGAGAGGGAGGCGCGGGAGCGGGAGGAGAGGCGCCGGAAGGCGGAGCAGGAGCACAGCGACTGGCTGGCCAGGCAGCCGAAGCCGTGCGGGGACTGCCTGGGCTCCGGCAGGTGCACCCACTGCGGCGGCAGGGGCTTCTTCTTCGCGCTGTTCCTGGCGCCCTCCGTGGGCTCGGATGCCGCGGTGGACTTCGGCCGCGCTCCGCAGGGGTGCCCGGAGTGCGGCGGCTGCGCCCAGAACGTGCTCGCCAGGCTTGTGCAGGGCTCGGGCAGGTGCCACGGCTGCGACGGCGTGGGCACGGTGACCCCGAAGGAGGTGCAGGTGCCGCAGTCGCCGAAGGGACGGCCTGCGCTGCACAGGGGCATGAGCAACGCGAGGCGGCTTTCGGGCGGGTGCACGGCCTTTGCTCAATCGCACAGCCTGCTGGGAGACGTCAGCTCTCCCACAGCCAGGCTGCGGCCACCTGCCGAGCCATCAGCCAGCTGAACGGCGTGCGCGACAGAAGCAGCCGCAGGTCCAGCGTGGTCAGCCCCTGAGCGCTCGTTCTGCGCCAGTCGCGGGGTCTCGTTCGTGGCCCGTGCGGCTCCTCCCTGCTGCTCCTCACCTTCTCCGCGCCCTCTGCCCCCTTGCTGGTGGGCCCCTCGTGAGACGCTGCCGTCCAGCTTCCGCGCAGGAGACTGCCAGAGGCTACCGAGGACCGCCAGAGGCTGAGGGTCGCCGAGGACCTGTGGTCGAGCGAGCCCTGCCTCGCCGCAGGATGTCTGTGCGCCGGGCAGCCCCGACCCAGCCGCGGGCTCGCCTTCCGCACCCGAGCCTGGCCAACCCTGAGCCCGCGCCTGAGCCTGCAACTGCGGCGCCAAGGGCTCGCCTCCGCCAGGTGAGATGGAGAGTCGGCGCCCGCTCCCGGATCTGGCGCGGCGGGGCCGGCGCGCCTGTGCGGCCGTCCTCACGCCGAGCTCTTCAGAACGCTTGGCTCATCGCCTCCGCCTCTCTGCTTTCTCAGCGGGCTGCGCCGCCTTCTATCGAAACAATCGGCTATATATATATATATATATATATATATATATATATACACGTGAGAGTGACCTTTCGCCGGAGTGACCTGTGGTGCGAGCTCATCGGGGTCCCCCCGATTGCTGAACGCGATGCTTTCGCGGCTGCTTGCGCGCCTGGACTTTGCCACCTTGCGCCCCCTTGACCCGCGCACCAGGGTCGCTCTTGCCTACAGTGCCGTTTTTATACATGCTCCGCGTGCGGATCATGTATTAAAAATGGAAGGATTTAGCATCAATTACTCCGACGGAAGGACCCCACATGAGAATCTTCTGGGCGAATCTGGAAAAAGCCCTCACCGTCGTCCTCGTGGTTGGTGAGGCGTCCTGGCTGTCTCTTCTGCGTATATTTCTTCTCGCCCTGGCGCGGGCCCTTCCCTCGCTCCCTACGTTGCCCCCGACCTCGCCCTCCTGTTTTGGCTCCGGACATTCAGAAAGTGGCCCGGGAGTAGTGTTCTGGGAGCACGAAGAACACGAAGTGGCCTACAGTTGGCTCCGGGCATTCATAATGTGGCCCGGGAGTTCTGTTCTGCGAGCACGAAGAACACGAAGTGGCCTACAGTTGGCTCCGGGCATTCAAAATGTGGCCTGATAATGGCGTTCTGGCAGCGCGAGAGCCCCAAAATGGCGACAGTTACAGGAATTGGGTGACCCGCTCGGATTAGTAACATGATCCGCGGGCCCCATAGGGAGGGGGCTCCCGCTTGAGACTTCCTCGCAATTCACTCACAAATGTGGCCTGGGAATTGCTTTCTGGCAGCGCGAGAGCTCAACAATGGCGACAGTTACAAAAATTTGATGACCCGCTCGGATTAGTAACATGATCCGCGGGCCCCACAGGGAGGGGGCTCCCGCTTGATCCTCGCAATTCACTCACACATGTGGCCTGGGAATGGCTTTCTGGCAGCGCGAGAGCCCAAAAGTGGCGACAGTTACAAAAATTGGATGACCCGCTCGGATTAGTAAGATGATCCGCGGGCCCCACAGGGAGGGGGCTCCCGCTTGAGACTTCCTTGCAATTCAATCACAAATGTGGCCTGGGAATGGCGTTCTGGCAGCGCGAGAGCCCAAAAGTGGCGACAGTTACAGGAATTGGATGACCCGCTCGGATTAGTAACATGATCCGCGGGCCCCATAGGGAGGGGGCTCCCGCTTGAGACTTCCTCGCAATTCACTCACAGACGAGGCCCAAGGCGAGTGAGTGAGTGAGTGAGTGGGTGACTGACTGACTGGTGATGATGATCATCATCACACTCTCTCACGCGCACACTCATCATCATCATATGTGAGTTCATGAGCGTGTGAGTGGGTGAGTGCTGAGTCAGTGAGTGAGTGAGTGAGTGGGTGAGTGAGTGAGCTAGTGAGTGAGTGAGTGAGCGCACGAAGACAGAAGAGGAGAGCGGGTGAGGTGAGGAGGTTCCTGCGCGGGGTGTCCAGAGAAAACAAGAACCCCACTTCGGATGTGGGGAAAAATAACGATGAGTTCATGCATATATTTATTCATATATTTATCCTGTATTAAAAACTATATGTTTTAGCATTCTATGTATTAGAAGCTGCCCTGTAGGGTCACTCTCGCGTGTAGCCGAAACCGAAACGGCATCACCAGAGCACGTCGGAGGTTCGCGCGGAGCTCTCTGGTCGGAGCTGCCTCCCCCCCCCCTGGCAGCGCGCCTCCGACGCCGCCTCGAACGCGCTTCGCTCGCCAAGGGGAGGGGTGGTCCAGCGCCGACGCAAGAGAAAATCCGCGCGGACCTGCGAGCGCACCTGTCCAGGTCCAGGGGAGGGGGAGGGGGTAGGGGGGAGGGGTAAACCCCTCCCCGAAGGGAAAGAAAGGGGGTGGAAGAGGAAACTCCCTAAACCACCTACGCCCAGAGGGCCAGTGGGATTCGCGCGGACCTGCGAGCGCATCTGTGCACATCTGGAGCGTTCCCCCAAAAAGAGCCCGGCCTGCGGGGAGCTGCCACGCTCTTCCTCCGCGGAGGGCGGCGGGAGGTATCGCCGGCAGGCGGCAGGCGGCAGAGCAGGGGCCGCCTCCGCCGACGCGCGAGCCGGCGGAAGGCATGCGGCATGTCTGGACGCCCGAAATGGGCACGGAAAGAATGGGCACAATGCTCTAGTCCTCCTGGATGGGGTCGGAGTAGATGGGGTCGGAGGATCGCGCCGCATCGCCGACGCATCGATGATGCGGCTCGATGTGGAGCCCGTGTTTCCCCGCACCGGCGTCGCCGATGCATCGCCGACGTCGCCGATGCATCGCCGATGCATCGGCGATGCATCGGCGATGCATTGGCGATGCGGCGCGATCCTTCGACCCCATCTACTCGGACCCCATCTGGGAGGCCTCTAAATGCCCAACAGCAGTTCCTGTTCATTTTGGACAGGATTTGCTGTCCGCGCCGCCGCGGCCTGGGTCCATTCGAGACAGAGGGCCGCCTGCCCAACAGCGGCCGCTGTTGGTTTGGGACAGCATCTGTTGTTGGGCAGTGTACCCATTTTTTCCGTACCCAGTTCGGGCGTCCAAAGCATGCGCCCGAAAGCCAGATGTTCTCCATGCCGACGTCGCCGATGCATCGGCGGTGCATCGGCGGTGCGGCGCGATCCTCCGACCCTGCTCCGGCCCGATCCGGTGGCCTCCCATCATTCAGGGGAGGAAAAAGCACAGAGACACAATGGATCGTCGATTCCCCAGAAAATGTGGGAAAGTATGGGAAGTGGGGGGGGAGACAAAAACCCAGAACAGATTGGCAAATATGGGGGATGTTTTCATTTGTGTGAATTTATTTGTGTGTCCCAGGGCCCCTTTAATCATGCTCTCCATGCACTCTCCATCTGGGGGCCAGTTGCTTGGCATCGCTCGGACGTGTGCATTTTTTCTCGGCGCGGACCATCGAGGAGCATCCCGGATCGTCTTGCGAAAAGCACACACGCGGAGCCGAAGCATGCACGGGGACTGGGCGTCCCAGCGATGGAAGGCTTGGTCTCGCCTGGTCTCAGGGGCCCCCCGCGGTGGGCGCCAGGCGTCAGAGGAGCGGCAGGTCACGAGAACGATACATTTGCCCGCTTCCCCCGACTCCAGGACCTCGTCCTGTTCCGCGCGGGCTCCCGAAGCGAGAGCCGGACCCTGGAAAGTCTGAAGCGCATCCTGGGCCAACCCTACGGCCGGACCGAGGTAGAAGATCGAGGTCGATTCGGGAGGGCGCCCTCGTGTTCTTCTTGCTTGCTGGACGCTCTTGCACATCCTGGGGAGGGCACCCTCGGGTGTTCTGTTTGTTCGGGCCGACGGAGGGACTCATGCCTTTGAGGGATGGTCCTCTGGCCTGGGCCCGCCTGCTGTGCCGTGACAGTGTCAGCCCAAAGTGCCCTGTTCTGAAATGCTGAATCTTCTGTGTTTTTTTCCCACTTGTGTTTTTTGTGTGTGTTTTTTCCCACGTTTGTTGTTTCCCACGGTCGAGGATCTCGAGGCTCGCCAAGAGGCGCGGCCGCCTGCGGCCTCCAGCTGCGCCTGCCGAAGCGTGGGCTGGTTCCCGCCACCCCTGGGGGCGCCGAGGTCGGCGTGTTCTGGCGGAGCACGCCGCTTGGGGCCAGAGCTGGGGCCCCAGGGGAAGCGTCTGTGGGGGGAAAACACACACACACACTGTGGAAAAAACACATACACACACTGTGGAACACACACACACACACACACACACACACACACACACACACACACACACACACACACACACACACACACACACTGTGTGGACAAAAACACATACACACACATGGTGGAAACCACACACACACAGTGGAACAAACACACATGCACACACACACTGTGGGAAACACACACACACACACTGTGGAAAATAACACATACACACACTGTGGAAACAAAACGCACACACACACACTGTGAAACACACACATACATACATACATACATACATACATACATACATACATACATACATACATACATACATACATACATACATACATACACACACACATACATACACATACATACATACATACATACATACATACATACATACATACATACATACATACATACATACATACATACATACATACATACATACATACATTACATACATACATACATACATACATACATACATACATACGTACATACATACATACATACATACATACATACATACATACATACATACATACATACATACATACATACATACATACATACATACATACATACATACATACATACATACATACATACATGCATGCATGCATACATACATACATACATACATACATACACACAAAAAGCAACAACAAGCAATAAAACAACACACACACAAGTGTTTTCCTGTGTGTTGAACTGTGGGAAACCACAACAACAAAAAACACACATTGTGGGAAAAAACAAAACAAAACAAGTGTTTGTTGTGTGTTTGTTCCCCCATCCCCCACAGTGTTTGTTTTTTTGATGTTTTTTCCCGCAAGGGCCGAAACTCCGAGTGCTCCTGGAGTTCCCCCGGCCCAGCGCCGCCGCCGTCGAGCGCCCATCCCCGCGCGCGCACGTGCTCGGCCATTCCCTCCTCGTCCTCCGTTCCCCTGGTATCGCTCGGACGTGTACATTTTTTCTCGGCGAGGGCCATCGAGGAGCATCCTTGATCATTTGGCGAAAAAGCCACGCACGACACCGAAAAAAGCATAGGGAATGGACGTCCGAGCGATGGCGAGTTCCTGTCCTACGCCCGAGCCTTCTCGCGTCACTCTTTCGTCGATCGGCTTGCCGGCAACGTGTTTCAGTGATGCGGGCCGTTTCTGGCTTGGCTCCGCTTTGTTTCGGCAAGAAGCGCTAGCGCTGTACAGGGAATGTGCGATATGTCGTCCTCTCCCCCCTCCCTCCTCGCCCTCGCCTCCCTCCCCCCTCTCCTGCCCTCCCTTTTAATTCCTCCCGTGAGGGGAGAATGTGCGAGAGCGTTCCCGTGGTCAGAGACCCGACGGTG